GTGTACATAGACCAGGTAGGGCCCTGAGCGCTTGAGGCGAGGTGGGAGCCAAGCCTCCCCTGCATGGTCTGAGGCTCAGGGACCCAAGTTCCAGTGCTAGGAGGTGGGGCGGGTTGGGCTCACTCTGCCAGCCAGGCTGCTTGGCTCAGGTGGCACTTTCTGGGTGGTTTCTCCTTCCGCCCCAAGAGCCTCAGGCTGGCAGGTGTGACGGGGACGCTGCGCTGCAGGGGCCCGGGTGTGACGCTGCCATCAGCAGAGTCCCAAGGATGAGCATGGCCCAGTGGGGTCTTTGCTGCCCTGCTGTGGGAAGTCAGGTTGTTCTCTGTGTGAACGAACCTCCCCCAATGGAGTGTGTCACCTCAGCAAGTCTCTCAGCCCTTAGCAGCCTTGTGGTCTGAACAGTCACAGCCGAGGTCCTCAGCTGGGGATGGCGCCGTTTGAGGTGCATTGTCCGTGAAGCACGGCTGCCCACTTGAGGCCCCCTTTATAGATGTCCCGGAGGGGCAGCCATGTTAGTCTGGATCTTTAATAGCGACGAGCAGCCCTGTGGCGCCTCAGAGTGGGTTTTCCCCACGCCAGGGACAGAGGGGGGGAGGGGGGAGGGGTCCCAGGCGAGGACACTGCTGCTCTCCCCAGTGCGTGGGACAGAGGGGGGGAGGGGGGAGGGGTCCCAGGCGAGGACACTGCTGCTCTCCCCAGTGCGTGGGACAGAGGGGGGGAGGGGGGAGGGGTCCCAGGCGAGGACACTGCTGCTCTCCCCAGTGCGTGGGACAGAGGGGGGGAGGGGGGAGGGGTCCCAGGCGAGGACACTGCTGCTCTCCCCAGTGCGTGGGACAGAGGGGGGGAGGGGGGAGGGGTCCCAGGCGAGGACACTGCTGCTCTCCCCAGTGCGTGGGACAGAGGGGGGGAGGGGGGAGGGGTCCCAGGCGAGGACACTGCTGCTCTCCCCAGTGCGTGGGACAGAGGGGGGGAGGGGGGAGGGGTCCCAGGCGAGGACACTGCTGCTCTCCCCAGTGCGTGGGACAGAGGGGGGGAGGGGGGAGGGGTCCCAGGCGAGGACACTGCTGCTCTCCCCAGTGCGTGGGACAGAGGGGGGGAGGGGGGAGGGGTCCCAGGCGAGGACACTGCTGCTCTCCCCAGTGCGTGGGACAGAGGGGGGAGGTGGGAGGAGGGTCCCAGGGGGCCCAGGCGAGGACACTGCTGCTCTGCCCAGTG